CTTTTACCTTCTGTATTCCCTACCCTATCCTTAATAGTTAAAAAATAAATATATATTAAAAAAGCAGAGAGAGAGAGAGAGAGAGAGAGAGAGTAGAGTCATCGGTGGCTGTTTCGGAACATTTTGCAAGAAATGAGTCAGATTTCCTGGGCAAACTGGTAACTGGTGATGAGACATGGGTCTACTGTTATGATCCTGAGACAAAGGAACAATCTAAGGAATGGAGGCACAGCGGATTCCCCAGGCCAAACAAGTTCCAAGTGCAAAGGTCGGTGCAGAAGCAAATGGCAACAATTTTTTGGGATAAGAAGGGTGTTCTGCTGGTGGACTATTGTCACGTTTCCGTGGGTTACAACAGCCGAAGTCCGATAAACCAGTCCAGGGTCAAGAATACCAAGAATGCAAAGGCAATGTCCATAAATCAACTCACAGAAGGAAGTCCAGCGTCAAAGTCCAGAGTCCAATACACAGCGTAATCCAGGGTCAGAGTCCAAAGTCCAATACCAGCGTAGTCCAGGGGCAGAGTCCAGAGTTCAGAGTCAGGAACACGGTTCAAGAAACGTGGATGCAAGCCAAGGTTTTGACTCTTTGCTTCCACAGAATTTCTGGCTTCACTGGGAGCTGTTTTATAGTAAAACAGCTCCTTGAGCTGCTGGAAAGCTTTCTATCCTGCTAATACTCAGGACTAGATGAACGTAGGTTTCTGTGGACAGCCTTCCAGCGATCCTCTGATCTTCTTGTTCTAAGTTTTTCCCGAAGCCTGGCCTGAAGCTTGTCTGCTGTGGAAGGAGAATCTGGAGGCGGTTCAGGTATTTCCGATCTCTCAGCATTCTCTTCAGCCTCAGTTAACCCTTCTGGTGCCAGGTCTTCGGATGCACTCATGACACAGAGACACTTTGCCCGTCAGCCTCCTTCAATAGGTCATCACACAGGGTGACCAATGCTGTTTCTGTACCATGGCGTGGCCTGAAGCCCGACTGAAATGGATCCAGGGCATCTGTTTCATCCAAGTGCGCCTGGAGCTGGTCAGCCACCACCCTCTCGACCACCTTGCATAAGAAACATTGGCGACGGGCGATCCAGGACGGAGATCCTGGTTAAACCAGGGCGCCAGGCGGGCTCTGCGTTGGAGAGGGCGTTTAGGTGAGATTGTGTCTAGTCGAGGAAAGCTCTCCAAAGGTGTCATCCTGTTGCATGACAACGCCTCGTCACACATTGCAGGTGAAACAACGGCAAAACTGACCTCCTTAGGCTTTCAAGTGAAGCCCCATACACCCTATGCTCCCGACCTGGCTCCTTCTGACTGTTATCTATTCCCCAAACTCAAAAAACACCTAAAGGGACAACAATTTGGGAGTGTTCTGGAGGCAACTAATGCTGCAAATGAGTGGTTACACCAGGAGTCAGAAGAATTTTATTTGCAGGGACTTAAGAAGCTTCAGGGCAGATGTTGCAAGTGCACTGACATCCTGGGGGAATATGTAGAATAGTGTGGCAGTTACAGCTTCCTATCTCAATTTTTTTCTGGGAAAGGCTCAATACTTATCAGCACCCCCTCATAGTTTCCCCTTCTCTCTTTGTCTCCTCTCCTCTCTCCTCTTCTTCTCTCGATCCAAGCAAGGGGGGGGGGCAGGCTCGCTTGTACCATAAGATTTTTTTAAAAGGTAAAGTCCATTTTGCTGACTCTTTATATCTATCTCTTTTCTGTGTAGTTATTTGGGTCCTTGAAGATTTTCCTTACCTGGACAAATATTTTAACTTAGAGTCTCTGGTTGAGATATTTCTGACATCCTTTCCCTCTCTCTGCTTGGGGTGTTCCCAGCTCTTTGTCAAGATGGCTTCCTCCTTGGTTTGTGCACTCAGATGCGACTTTGAAGGGGGAACCAGCCTTTGCCAGTCCCATTCCCCCCTTTTGTCATCTCTGCTGCTTCACATGCCATTTCTCCTAGTGGTGTTCTCCCCCCCCAGTTTGGGGGGCAGAACTGGGGGGTCCTGGTCAGTTTCAGGAGCTTGCCTGAAACCCAACCAGTTCTCACCATGATGAAAACCCACCTCCCCAAAACTATCCAGTAGAGATATTTAAATTAGTGGATATTTAAATTAGATTATTTAAATTATTGCTAAAATGTAAGCATGTTAAACTTGATTTTTTATTTTACTACTACAAAAATAGTAAATCATCTAAAAATTACCAGTGATGTATATTTTAGTAGCAACATGAACTGGATTTATTGTCACTTAAAGAGAATGGAGAATGTACCAAACAAAAGAAAAAGATCAAAAACCTCCTACTTTAATATATTTTTCAGGGTGACAAATCTACTGAAGAAGCCTATACTTTCTCAGAAACAAAAGAAGGAGAAATATTTGTGGCCAGCGAAAAGACAAAACCACTTATCCCAGAGATATGTTTTATATATAGTGAGGAGAACACTGAAAACTATCCATCTAATGGCTTTATTGAAGAAGATGGAACAAGTCTGCTGATATCCTGTGCAAAGTGTTGTGTACAGGTCCATGCAAGTAAATGTCACAGTTGTTGAAGTTAAAATATTCTGTCTGCACTGAACACTTTTGTGTTGTCATAATCTATGAATAAAAAGTTTCCATAATATTTTGAGTTGCTATAAGAGTACAGAACACAAGCATTATGCCATTTATACATTTGAATGTATGAAATCACTTGTGCCAGAAGATGAACTTTCTAAGTTGCATAAATTTTGTCAATGTAGCTGAAATGTAGTTTAACTCCTTGAGGAATCCTGCTCAATCCTATTCATTTTTTGATATAAAGTGCATACTTTTGCCTAAAAGATCAAAAGGCTTAATCTATTTTCTCATTTAAATGTGCACAAAACAACAGCTGTAAGAACAGCATCTGTTACTGCTACTGTGTTTAGATTGTACTTCACCACATGGATAACTGCTGCGGATTACTAGTCTGACAGGCTAGCATAGTTAAAGGTAAACGATGATTTTGAGAATGGGAGCTGTTACTAGCATAGATAGTGTTTCAGCTACAGTCAGGACAATTCTTAGGAAAATGTATCAGCTAATTCTTAGAAAATGTTCATTCTTGACTCCCCCCCCCACACATCACAGAATGCAAACCCAGTGTTTTGATATAAAGGGATGGGAAAAAAACCAAGACATTTTCTTAAAAGATTGATAGAGATGTCCCAAATCAAGCCTAGAAACAAAATATAAAACACCTATGACCTTGCACATTTGGCGATTAAAAAAAAACTTTTGTGTTTTTTTTTCAACAAACATACATTTATGTGTTCTCAAAATGATGAAGATTGGTATGGAGTGAAAAGCTAGTTTATAGTTCTAATTCCTCCCCCCTTTGGATTATGCAAATCTAGTGTCTTTTGTTAATAGTTCAGTTCTCTATTTAGCAAGAAAGATAGTGAAGTACAGAATATATTTATCATCTCAGTTTTTTAATTACAGGTTGCTATGGTGTTCCTTCCCATGAAATCCATGATGGATGGTTGTGTTCTCGATGCAAAAGAGAAGCTTGGACAGCTGTAAGTTCTGCCTTTTATTTAGTTGTTGAAAATGAGGAACAAGTGAAAGTGAGGAACAAGTAACTAAACCTCCTGATCGTATGTGAAAACATATGACATAAAAGTTTGCTTTTCTGCTCCTTCACAAATAGCTGAGATGATATCATTATGGCTGAAACTGGATTTTTGATTGCTAAGTGGTATGTCATAATCTATGAATAAAAAGTTTCCATAATATTTTGAGTTGCTATAAGAGTACAGAACACAAGCATTATGCCATTTATACATTTGAATGTATGAAATCACTTGTGCCAGAAGATGAACTTTCTAAGTTGGATAAATTTTGGCAATGTAGCTGAAATGTAGTATGTGGTGACTAAGATAAATGTCATAATGTTAATAGAGGCCCTGGTCACAAAAGGGAAATGTCCTCTAGTTAGCCCCCAGTTAGTTGCTTTCTGTTCACATGATGCACAGTCAAGATTGAGACATTTTCCCGACCACCGATGTAACTACAGAACATTTCCCAATCGCCAGGAGGATTGTGTTGTATCTTTGTTGTACTGGTGCATTTCTTACTGGGATTGGCTGTGTGTACAACCTGTCCTGCTTCTTTTCAGAATTGAAACCAGGAAGGTGGCCGCTGTTACCGCAGCACACTCTTTTTTTAAAAATTTTTCACTTTCATGCCCAGTACACCAGTACGTTAGTAAAAGCATGTCACCAGAGGGCTGCTGCCATTACATTACTGGGGAGTAATAATATTTTTTATTTCTTGGGAAGATACATTGAATCACTGGTATGCCAATGTGCCCGGGGGTGGTGATCACCAGTATGATTGTGCAGATATCCCCTGTCCATTGTGTGCAATGCATTTCTGCAAGAGCAGCCAGTGCAAAAGAGGACACTTTCCTAAACAGAAACCCCTTCTCGATCAATGTTCTCTCTCATTTCAGCCCCACTGGGCAGGACTCCACCCCCCCATACATTGAATCACTGGTATGCCAATGTGCCCGGGGGTGGTGATCACCAGTATGATTGTGCAGATATCCCCTGTCCATTGTGTGCAATGCATTTCTGCAAGAGCAGCCAGTGCAAAAGAGGACACTTTCCTAAACAGAAACCCCTTCTCGATCAATGTTCTCTCTCATTTCAGCCCCACTGGGCAGGACTCCACCCCCCCACCCCCCGTGCATAAGTCTGTCCTGCTGCATGTGCAAGTCACCCCCCCCTCACAGGGTTCCCTGCTGCATGTGCAAGTCAGCCCCCCCCCATCACAGGGTTCCATTATGACCAGAACAAAAGGGTCTGGAAAAATTGCTGTGGGTGCATGGTGGAGGAAGAAAACTATTTGGAGGGGGCAGAGTCACACATGCTCACATCGTCATGCACCTTAGAGGGAACCTTGTCTAAGTAAAGATTTCAGTATTGTGATCTAAGAGAGGTTGTCTTTCACAAATAAGTAATCAGGCTTGCATGCTACCTTCAGTTCTCTGGGGGGCAGAGCGAGAAGAGTTCATCTGTCTTCAGTATAACTATGGCAGTTCCTGATTCCTAAGAAGACTGGGGGTGAAAACTATGTGTATGTGGATTTGTGTGGGAATGGAGGGGCCTTTTTCTAAATATGGTAGGCTACAGTGAAGTGTTAGAATATATATTTTAATTGCATTTTAATTATTTTGCCATTTTATTTTGCCTTTTTATTGTATTTTAAATGCTGTAAGCTGCCCAGAGACCTTCGCGTAGTGTGGGTGGCATATAAGTTAAATAAATAAATAAATAAATAAATAAATAAATAATCTGAGGCATCATATGCAAGGATTATTATGTTTCTTTGCAAGTAACGATGGTTTCCAAATATCCATATTGTCATGGCAATATGTTTGAATGATATGCAGTTTGCAGTGCAATCTTAGTAACTAGAGGGCTTGCTGTGTGGTTCTTTCATCCTTTACCATGGTGGCTGAATTAAAAAGGAAAAAGAAAACAAGGAGATGGGTGAAAAATGTTCAAAGACTAACAGATTTAATTCAGTGTTGGCTTCTGTGGATCAAATCTAAACAATGGGAGTGCAAATACAGTGTCCTCTCTTTCTATCCCTCTGGTGGTGACAGTCATGGCCAAGTGACTATACATATAATAGACAAAGTGACAATGGCTCATTAATATGGAAATAGGACTACCAAACCATTAATTACTTGAAGCACATGAAGAAGGATTAAACGAGGAATAAATCATTATGTCATTGACCCAAGTTGCAACTAGGAAAGACTCATTCAATCAATGGAATTTATAGAGGAGTTGATTACCTAAAACACTACTGATTCAATGAGACTACTCTACCTGTGATTTACTACTGGATTTGAGTTATGGTTTTATAAACTAGTTACCTCCCCTTCCCATTGATACCCTTTCTCTCACACCCATTGGATTTTTGACATGGACAAATATATGACTTTAAAATAATGGAAATATAAAGGTTTGTACAGATATAATGATATTTTTGTGGGGAACACTTTAAGATCCATGTTGCTATATTGGTAAGGGTCCAAATGGGACCCAGGGTCAGGCCTTCCCCCGTGCCTTCAACATCAGTGTACAATGGAGTTAACTTGCACCCCCCCCCAACCTATGCAAGAAGCCAGTAGGACTGCCAGCTGTCAGGTGCAAACTCCAGGGTCATTGTTAGAGATCAGTGATCCAAAAAAGGGAGAAAGACACTGGCACAAGCTATTCTGGGCCTGCAGAACCTGTATCCTGTTCCTGCATCTCCACACTATTGGAAAAGAAAGCAGCAATTTGAGTGCCTTCACTATTTAGAGTCATATGCTAACTGCCCAGAGACTGGCTCACTTTTTTGCGATTGTGGGCAGAGACATGGCCAGAACTAAGACTTCGTGGAAACATTGTACACTTAAGGGAGGGTGGAACAACTGTTTCTGTTCTTTGGAACCATAATCTAGCCAGAAGAAAAGGAGAAAAGTTATGTCAAGTTACTAGCTTCTTGAATGAAGTTCTGTTGGTTCACAACTTTGGATTCTGCCTTGATGTCCAGAACACTGGGACTTTTTGATGCCCCCCCTACCTATGGAGGACTTGGTGGCACACACAACCCCTTAGATCAACTGTGTGAGGTTATTGCTTCCTGATTTTAGCTGGTTCAAATGACACATTTTACTGAAAGACCTTTGGTTAAGATGTAGGCTATTGTACTACTCTTGATTGATTTTAGCTTGATATTAGCCACTAAAGAAAAGCAGAGAGGATTGGTTTTTAAATCATATGCCATCTACAGTATATTGATATTAATTATGGATCCTCCTTAAGAGCTAATTTTATATGGGAGAATGATCTTAATGTTACCATCACTGATGCCTGCTGTAACTCTGTGGGACAAACTCTCATTTAATATTTCTACCAAAATTGGAGCGCATACTTACAAATGTGTGTATTGATTGTATCTCTCTTAAACATCTCACCCATATAAATCATACTATAATTCAAAATGTTGGAGTGGATGCCAGGAAATTGGATGTTATTACCATATGTAGTGGACATGTTCTGAGGTTCATCCCTTTTGGGAACAAATATTTGAAAACATTTCTGTCATGATGAGTCAGAATGTATTCTTATAGCCTTTGTTGGGTTTATTGGGTTTATTGTCACTGTTTCTAAACAAGAGTGGGTGGGTGTGCTTAAATCCTCAATATTAATTCTTTGTCAGGCAGCTGGATCCTTGATTGCATCTCAGCGGAAGGGACTTATGAGTCTTGCACTCATGCAATAGTATGGTAAGGTGTTACTTTGAGAAATCAACAGCACATATGCAGGCCTGAAATTGGAGAACCATTGCTCATGGTTTATTGAAGTATGATTTCCTTTGATTAGCAGTAGTAATTGGAGTAGAAGCCGTGATTTTTATTTACCCTTTTGGAGATGGACTGGTTCTTATGTAGCTAATTTCCATTGTCTCTCTCGAGTCTCTCTTTGGAATTCCTGTTTCCTAGAAAAATAATAGTGTGCCCTAGGAGGTTCAACTCTTCTAAAACTGGTGTGTGTTGCTATTTGTGATTAGTCTGAGACAGACTAATGTGGTTGCTATTTTGGAAAATCCTTCCCCATTTTAGTAATTTATTCCCGAAACACAATTTTTGTTAATCGATTTCCCCAGCTTTTTAATAGCTTCCTTTGGTATGTCTTAAGAAGTATCTCATCTTGTGAATGAAATGAGAATGTAGGACAAGGATCAGCAATAAGCATTATCAAAAAGCTTCTCAAGATATGTAAATGATGGTTCTTCTACATGGCCTCTGTGAATCCACACAACTGGATATCAACTGAGAAGCATAGAGAGGACGAGAGAGCAGCAGTCTTGTCAGGTGACCCACGAAGAGCTGTGTGTGTGTGTGTGTGTGTGTGTGTGTGTGTGTGTGTGTGTGTGTGTGTGTGTGTGAGAGAGAGAGAGAGAGAGAGAGAGACCTAAAATCTGAAGCTCCTGTGGCACCAAACCCCTGAGATAAAAGACTGCAGGGCAGAGAGAGGGGGCTCCCCTTCTGGACGTGTGGGTGTCAAGTAGGTGCCGCTGCTGCTGCAACCACTTCTGGTTGGGCTGAAATTAAAAGCCAGGCAGATTTTGAGATTGGTGGCTGTGTTGCCTGGTGGTTGGATCCAAGTGGAATTATATCACACAGGCCCAAATATGTCTTTTTCAAAGTCTTCAGTGAAGAGAAAGGTTGGTAATGAGCACAGACAATTTCAGGAAAAATGGAAAAATCAATATTTCTTTGAGCACAGGGGCACCCCGGCATGTCTTATTTGCACAGAGAAAGTTGCGGTGCACAAGGAATACAATTTGAAACGTCATTACACAACTAAACATGCTGAGGAGTATGCAAAATACCAGGAAGATGAGAGAGCCAACCGGGTTTCCAATCTTAAAACATGTCTGCTGAGGCAACAAGATCTCTTCAATAAATCAACCAAAGAGAATAATGCAGCAGTCAAAGTCAGCTACAATATTA